AATGAAATACTATATGAAAGTAATGATAATATTAAAATAAGTTATATATCTATCCAAACTTCATGATTTCACTGCTAATTTTAGATGGACTTTTATTAAGATAACTACTACTTAATCTTTCAAAATCTGTAATCGATTAATTACAAACCCAAATTCGAAGCTTTATATTAATTATCTAGCAGAATGGCAATGTAAGCTTGCTCTTCATTTTATATGATGCAAGCTAATCATAAAATAATTGGTATAATAATAATTATAATATATTTTCCGTTTTATAATAATAATGTGTAATCAGTTTATATCTTTTTTTCATTGAAAAACTCATTCATATCCATGGGTGAAAGCCCTTATATAGCAAGACGGAAAAGAGAAAAACCTGGTACGTAAAACATTTCATTCCAGCATTTTTTTCGAAAAAAATGAAATATCTGTAACTATCAAGATTTCTTTTATAATTCTGGCATATATATAAAACTGCTTCTTTTCCAAAATAAAGTAGATATTGTTGAAAAATTTAAAAAAAGAATAAGTAAACTCCTCCCCAAAACTAGCTATAACTGAAATGGTTTTACTACCAGCCTTTCCTCTTTTCCGTCTCGCTTTCCCCCCTGGCCCTGATAGCAAATACAGTTCTCTCATTTTTTCTTTTTTGCATTATAATTGAGTTCGGCTTATTTCTTTTTCAATTTAAATATATATTACATGTAATATTAAAATAAATATAACGGTAGTTACAAATAAATAAAAGTAAGAAATTTAATATCACTGAAATGAAATTCTATCTCTTTTTAACTTTTCTGGCGTCCCTTTCATCTAAGTAGAAGCACTTTCAAGTAATATCACGCACTCTCACATGTGTTTGATCTGCCAAAGTTTTTAGCGCTGGCATAGTCTTTTTTAAAAAATAAAATTCGCATAAAAATTATTAATTATGCTATTTAAAATAAAACATTATAAGAGCGCGATACACGGAGCTGACATATTAGTTCATTCCCCAATCAAACACTCAGTCCCGTTCTTAGGGTTCGATCTTTTAAAGGCTATGCCACGCAATTTCGATCACGGTCAGACGATATGGTCAACGCCTGAGTGGCTACTCCTCTCTCCCAAATTTGCACACATCAATCAACATTCAATCATGACAATTTAACGTTCATATTCTCGCTTTTTCACGCCGATTGTTTCATCAGACATCATGATCGAACTCGCGACCCCTAATTCTCCAAGAGCTGCATGAGGGGTGCCTCTACCAAATTTGCACACATCAATCAACTTTCAATCATGACATCACCGAAGAAGTGCAGCTCCTAACGGCATAAATCTTAAAAGAATTTTTGAGCTAATTTCTGACAAGAAGTGAATTTAATAGTCACAAAATCATCATCATTCTACAAAAAAGGTTTTTAATTTGACGAAATAATATTTTTTATTTTATAACCGCCGTTGAACAGCAGACCCAATTCTGAGTTTACTACTACCAATGTTCTACTCCTTAGCTTTGTAATTTTGAACCCAACCTTGAAGACAAGGGAAGCAGTATCAAGAATCAGGCCTTATTGGAAGATTATTTAATGGAACTCACCCACATTTGCGCTACATGAAGCGGGATTCAAGGGGATTCTAACCTGTGTTCCGTCTACGGCTAAGGATATTTTACGTCAGGACTGTGGCATTTGCGAATCGGGTGCAGAATACGAACCTAACTACCACCACTGGGATTCGAACCTGAGTTACCTCATTTGTCTGTGAACTCTCTATCAACTGAGTCTACGAACATTTAAAAATGTATATCATTTTTATTTAGTTAACTTTCCAGGGGAGACAAGTGAACTCAGTTGATATCCGTGACGGGCGCACTTGGTTATGCGCAACACTGTTACTACAGAACCATTCATAGCTTAGCTGCCGAATTTTCTAAAACTTATATGCTTATTATTAATTAAATAACTATAAACGCGATTGAAGGCATTCTATGTGTAACGGAAATTACATGAGTATAACACATTCATGCTGTCAAATGGTTTACCACATTGAAGGGACATATATTGAGTTATAAGCTACGTTGTTTTAAGTGACACGATTTAAATTTTGTAAAATCTTATTAATTCTATAATCTGAAGCCAAGTGCGGTTAATATCAGTTTTACATAATTTAACCGGTTAAAGCGCAGCGTCATATATTTAGGACAGTTCCTTTATTCATTGTGGTGGGAAACTTTTTTCAGCATTTTCATTTATCTAGGTGAAATTAAAGATTCTCAGATACCACAATGATTTAGTTATTTCTGATTAGATCTAGAATTATAAGGAGTAAGTACTTTTTGATCTATCAATGACTTTTAAAATTCCCTAACAGTAGAAAAACCAATTAATTTCGATAATATATTGTACCACTTTTTCTACAAAACCACACATTATTGCAACAAGCCGCAAAAATCAAATCTGCAACAGGAGGTTGTAAACCATAAAATGAGGACCGATATTACCTGATGCTACAGACGTGCCCGAAAATGACTTGTAATACTATTGAATGTGAATTGGGTTCACGATAAGCTGACCGATGTTTCCAGAAATGTAAACAACTGTATCAAAATTTTTAAAAGTGCGTTCAAAAATTTCCTTCTTTACTTTTCCAATTTAAAAAATATGCATACAATAGAGAATCTCTGCGAAGGACTTTTCTGTTCGCAGAATTTTATTTAGGAAAATTAAAGCAGTAAGTTGGCAAATGGTAACAACCGTTCAAAATATTATATTATTAATTTTCTGAAGATGCTTACTTTTTGCATCTTCATTGTAGTGTATTATTTAATGATGATTATTAACATAATATTAAGTGAAGAAATTTTTATTTATATATTAATTTTATTTGAATATTTAGAGTGGTAGTAAATTTTATGATTAAAGGTTTCATTATTTCAGAATATTGAATTCAGAAATTTAATTCAGAATATTGTACACCGCTACATACAAATAAAAACAACTTAAGCATTTATGCAAAACCTATTAATTATGAGGAGAAGAATTATTAAATACTAGCTGTACCCTGCGTGCGTTGCAACGCTTTCAATTTGAATTTGAATTTTGTATTTAAGTGTGTAAATGACATTTGCGATTATGATTTGAAATGCAAATTTTATTTAGTGGTGAAAAAAAACCAGTGATAGTCTCACAGGTTAATTCTCTAGGATATCATTAGTGCATTTTCAAACAGACATGTATGGTGATGCACACGGAGCATGAAACATATTTAGGATAATGATCTGAAATAAGACTGGATCTATGGTGACATTAAGAATTTCTGCTGATATCTGATCAGTTTGGCATGGTGGGTTTTTTTCAATAAGCCAAATCAGAATGTGTGCCTGAGGCAATCCTCGTTTATGCCATTCAATAGAGTACACCCAACACCGTGTCTCTCTAAAAACATGACGCTTCACAATGAAATCAAGTAAAGATTATCATTTTTGTTTGAACACACGTGCTGTAATATCATGACGATCCGATGATGATTGTCCTGGTAACAAAATATCTCTAATTTCAACCCAAGCAGAATTGCACGTAAATGTAATAAATAAATCTAGGAGCCCATATGCGAGAACATATGTCATTGCATCCTGTGAGTATTCATACATGGAAGATTGCT